TTATATTTTTTAAACATTTTTAAAGTACTTTCAAAGTAATTCTTTTTTCAAAATAGTTTAAATACTTTTCAATTTTTTAGTTTCCTTTTGATAATTTTCCCATACAAAAAAGCAGAAAAATATTCCTCGTCCTACCTGTAAAAGTTGCTGCTGAGCCCTCAGTTGTTGCTGCAGCAGCAACAATTTCTGTATGTTCTCCTGAGTCTTCTGCAGCTGCAACAGTTGGTCCTGATACTGTTGCTGAAGCGCCGGTGGCAGAGATATCTGCGGAAGTTGGGGCAACTGCGAATTTCCGCTTGCCAAGAGGCTCGTAGCCGGGCCATTTTGCTCGACCTGAGTTGGCGCTGCTCTAGGATTTGCCAGGGGAATCCATTCGCTGTTTGAAACCTGTCGCGACCATCGTTCGGCCTGTACAGCGCCGAATTCTACCGACAGGATCAAACAGATCGGTACTGTCAACGTCAAACACCTCCGCACAATCTGAAATGAAAGATGAATTCTGTGTAGGAAAGAGAAAATTATTAATTAATCAAAGAAACAAGGAATTTCAATCTTTCATGCATAGGAGAAAGAAAAGAAAATGTTGTTTAAGTAAGGAAGGGTTTAGGAATTTTTTATTTTTCAAATGTGAAGTTCGGTTCTATTTTTCTCTTTCTATTAGACGATATTTTCATGATTTTTGCAGACAGATTATTTATGGTACCTTTCTAGAACAGTTTTTTACTTTAAATTATCGTTAAAATCGATATCTGTTGGTATGTTATGCCCCAGGACACAAGAATACACTTTTCGCCTTCCACCATTTTCAAATTACCCGCCATAATCAATCCACAATTCCGCGATCCATCTCGCAATTATTTCCGTATCGATCGATCGATCGACCGTACGCAAACATGGCGTGTTACGGGTTCAGAAATTGAAACGATTCTACTTCGAACAAACTGCGTCTGTTTGTACTTGTGATTTTCACGGTGGCAGCCCTGGTCGACAATAATAGACCTAATGGCGGATCTGGAAGTGCTGTTGGAACGTTAGGAACGATGATTTTCTGCTTGAACGGGAATCAGGTGGAAAAAATCAAACCGCAAGTCGTGGTGATCGGCAGCCAAGCAAGAAATCGAGGCGTTTCGTGACAAGTAGTTAGCCACGATTCAATTGGCATAACCATTAATGAAAACCAACGATTTTATTCGACGAGAAGGACGAAACCGCGAAGCGGGGAATGAAAGAAGAAAGAAACAGTAATAATTTCCCGAGGTTAGTGGAATTTATGTAAACATCGGTCATGGTAATTCTCCGAGAAATCTTTCAAGTGGAAATTAAGCGAAATCAGTCGGTTTTACGATTAATGTTCCGTGTGTTGATTA